GCAGAAGAGAGAATCAATGATATGGAAGACCAAATGATGGCAAATAAAGAAGCTGAGAAAAAGAGAGATCAACAACTCCTGGATCACGAGGGCAGAATTCGAGACATAAGTGATACCATAAAATAAAACAATATTAGAATAATTGGGATCCCAGAAGAAGAAAGAGAGAGAAGGGCAGAAGGTATATTGGAGCAAATTATAGCAGAGAACTTCCTTAATTTGGGGAAGGAAACAGGCATCAAAATCCAGGAGGCACAGAGAACCCCCCTCAAATCAATAAAAATAGGTCAACACCCCGACATCCAATAGTAAAACTTACAGGACTCAGAGACAAAGAGAAAATCCTGAAAGCAGGTCAGGAGAACAGATCTGTAAACTACAAAGGTAGAAACATTACATTGGCAACAGACCTATCCACAGAGACCTGGCAGGCCAGAAAGGACTGGCATGATATCTTCAGAGCACTAAATGACAAAAATATGCAGCCAAGAATACTATATCCAGCTAGGCTGTCACTGAAAATAGGAGACATAAAAAGGTTCCAGGACAAACAAAAACAAAAGAATTTGCAAACATGAAACCATCCCTACAAGAAATATTGAAAGGGGTCCTCTAAGCAAAGAGAGAGCCTAAAAGCAGCATAGACCAGAAAGGAACACAGACAATATACAGTAACAGTCACCTTACAGGCAATACAATGGCACTAAATTCATACCTTTCAATAGTTACCCTGAATGTAAATGGGCTCAATGCCCCAATCAAAAGACACAGGCTATCAGATTGGATTAAAAAACAAGACCCATCAATATGCTGTCTGCAAGAGACTCATTTTAGACCCAAAGACACCCCCAGATTGAAAGTGAGGGGGTGGAAAACCATTTACCATGCTAATGGACACCAAAAGAAAGCTGGGGTGGTAATCCTTATATCAGACAAATTAGATTTTAAGCCAAAGACTATAATAAGAGATGAGGAAGGACACTATATCACACTTAAAGGGTCTATCCAACAAGATTTAACAATTGTAAATATCTATGCCCTTAACATGGGAGCAGCCAATTATATAAGCCGATTAATATCAAAAGCAAATAAACACATCGAAAACAATAAAATAATAGAAGGGGATTTTAAAACCCCCCTCACAGAAATGGACAGATCATCTAAGCAAAAGATCAACAAGGAAATAAAGACTTTAAATGACACACTGGACCAAATGGATGTCACAGATATATTCAGAACATTTCATCCCAAAGCAACAGAACAAACATTCTTCTCTAGTGCCCATGGAACACTCTCCAGAATAGATCACATCCTAGGTCAAAATCAGATCTCAACTGGTACCAAAAGATTAGGATCATTCCCTGCATATTTTCGGACCACAATGCTTTGAAACTAGAACTCAATCACAAGAGGAAAGTCGGAAAGAACTCAAATACATGGAAGCTAAAGAGCATCCTACTAAAGAATGA